AAATAAGCAATGCCCTTTATTCATTAAAATAATGTTTACAAGAGACAAATTATTGGCTCTAATGCACCTACTCTAACACGCTGTGCTAAAAAGTCGTTGATCGACCAGCCGATTTAGTCGTTTGTCTTCTATCATATTTTAATCTATCTTCTGTGAGGTATATTTGGGTTCCTCAATACTCACTTGTGAGGTATGTTTGGATTTCTATAAATCTTATGCAATCATTTTATTTTTATTTTCTGTTTGATTGTTGAGAAAATGTAAAAGAAGTAAATAAAACTTTTATGAGTTTTTTGATAATGTAGTTTGTGATGAAGAGTTTGGAGAGTGTTGATTTTTTGTGATTGATTGTGAATGTTTGGATTTTATGGATTTGATTATTTGTTTTTTGTTTTAATTTCTGTTTGATGTTGAGAAAATGCAGCCAAAGGAAAGAAACTTTATGAGTTTTGATGACATAATTTATTCTAAGTGTTAATTTTGTAAATGAATGGAAATATTTGGAGTATATAGATCTGATGCTATGATTCATCATGTTGACGTAGCATTATGATGTCATCGGTCCGACCCACTGGTTGGATCGGTTTTTAGAACATTGCTCAGAAGTAGGGGTGAGCATGGGTAGCGGGTAGAACCAGAACTTGGGGGTAGAACCGGAACCGGAATCGGAACCGACACTGTCCTGATAGGTTTCGGTTCCATTTTATTGGAACCGACACTGTGCGGTTCCGGTTCCGGTTCTTATGTGTGGAGGAACCGGAACCTGGAAAAAGAACCGATTTTCGAAACCTGTTTGGAACCTTGACTGCAATGAAAATATGAAATATTTGTGAAATGTGAATAACGGGGGGTTTCTATTATTTTACATATAAAAAAATTTAAAATAGAAAAAGTTAAATTTTTAGAGCAACCTAAATAAATAAATATACAAATATACTTATTACATATAAATTACACCATATTAAAAACTTTAATATATTATAATATATTAATATTAAAGTTTTGATTAATTAAGTGAATAATTGGAATTATGATTCAATTAAAAGTGTTTTAATGTTATTACAATTATTTCATGAATAAAATAGTATATTTGATTGAATAATAATATATTTAGTTATTTACTTCAATTATCAAGTTCTAAGTATATCTATAGTAAATTAGCAATTAGTTAATTATATATGATAAATTGATAAACATTAATAAATTTACTTATTAGTTAAATATCATACTTAATCAATTATAACATTACATTATAGTTAAATGATTACTTAATTAATTATAATTTTATAATATTACTTAATTGATTTATAGTATAATTAATTATAGCATTACATTAATTGATTACTACTTAATTAATTGAGTTATAAGTTATAACATTTAGTATATTACTTAATTAAATAATTAGAAATTTAATTAATTATAGCATTACATTATAAATTTATAGTATAATTACTTAATCAATTATAACATTTTATTATAAACATTAGCACAAACTTAATTGAATGATTAAAAATTTAATTAATTATAATATTGCATTAAAAATTTATAGTATGATTATTTAATTCACTATAAGTCTATAACATTATATTATAGTATGATTATATAATTAATTATAACATTACATAATTATATTATAAATATTAGTAATTAGTAATTTACTACATAAACATTACTATATTAGCACAATACTTAATTAAATGATAGAAATTTAATTAATTACAATATTACATTATAAATTTATAGTATGATTATGTAATTAATTGTAACATTACATTATAATTAAATGATTACTTAATTAATTATAACATTCTATTATAAACAAATTAATTATAAATTTATAATATTATATTAAAGATTTATAGTATGATTACTTAATTCATTATAGTATGATTACATAATTAGTTATAACATTACATAATTAGATGATTATTTAATTGATTATGACATTATATTATAAACATTAATTGTAATATTACATTATAAATAAATGATTATTTAATTAAATGATCAAAAAATTAATTAATTAAACATTACATTATATTTAAATAATTACTTAATTAAATTATAACATTATTATATTACATTATATTATGATCACTTAATTAATTATAGCATTACATAGTTAAATGATTATATAATTAGTTATGAATTTATAACATTACATTATAAACATTAATAATTTACTATATTACTACATTATTTAATTAAATAATTAAAAATTTAATTAATTATAACATTACCTTATATATTTATAGTATGATTACTTAATCAATTATAACATTTCATTATAAACATTAGTACATTAATTAAATGATTAGTAATTCAATTAATTACAATATTAAATTATAAATTTATAGTATAATTACTTAATTCATTATAACATTATATTATAGCATGATCACATAATTAATTATAACATTACATAATTAAATGATTACTTAATTGATTATGATATTACATTATAAACATTAGTAATTTACTAATTTACACAATACTTAATTAAATTATTAGAATTTTATTAATTATAACATTACATTATAAATTTATAGTATAATTACTTAATTAATTATAGCATTCTATTATAAACAATATTACAATACTTAATTAAATGATTAAAAATTTAATTAATTATAATATTACAGTATAAACATTAAACATAAGTAATTAATTAAATTATTAGAAATTTAATTGATTATAACATTATATTATTGTTAAATAATTACTTAAATAATTATAAAAATACATTATAGTATGACCACTTAATTAATTATAACATTACATTATAATTTTATAATTACAACATTACTATATTACATTATAAACATTACTAATTGATTGAATTCAAGTGTTACGTAGAGATTATAGGTTATGAGTTACATTAGACACAAATGAATGACTAATCAAAATTTGTTAGGGGTGTATTTATAAACTTTTAAGGTATTTTTGTCATTTTTTAAACTAATAGGGGAATGATTGATGTTTTTACAGGGTACCCGGGAAATGAACCGGAACCTGCATTTTAGGTTCCGGTTCCTTGAATTTAAGAACTTGTACTGTGCGGTTCCAATTCTTTTTTTTTTTGGAATCTATATTGTGCAGTTCCAATTCCGGTTCTCCCGAAAAATATAAAGTACCCGAAACCGTTCACCCCTACTCAAAAGTCATAATGATACAAATGCTTGCATGGCAATTATCTAACCTCCCCTTCAACCTCAAACTCTTCTTTGCAAACTGAACACATTTGCATGAAATGATCCTCCGAGATTCTCACTCTTGGTAGTGCGTTTACCAATGCACATGCTACCAGAGGCAGCCTTGATTGATCGTTTTGAATCATTTCTTTAGTGACCTGATCCATTGAGTCCATCTTAACGTCAGCATAATTGATATTATAATAATTATTATTATTATCTCAAGGCTCATGTTTCAGCATTGTGACGGGTCTCGGCAGGTGAGTTATGTTATCGAAATGGAGAGATGTGTGTGACCGAAGGTTGTGTTCGGTGTTGTTATAAATTAAATACAATAAGAATAACGAATTTTCCTTTTGTCTTTTATTATAAAAATATTGGTTGTGTTTATTTTATTATTCAAAATATTATTCCATCCAATCATATTCAAAATATATATTTGTTTCAATATTCTCAAAATCCAATCCTCTTTTATTCAACTCAAAATATTTAGATATTTTTAACCTTTAGGTTTGTTAATTTAACTAAACAGTCCTAACAATAAAAGTTTATAAATTGACAAAAACACCCCCACTTACCCACATATTCCCAACAGCTAGCCACCACTATTGGAAGGTGGCTGGAATCTGTCAGAATGGCACACAACCGGCAGGATGTGATCGATAATGTGCTGATTTGACCTTTTCTACCTAGATCCACCATAGATTTGGTCGGAAAAATGTCATATTTACGACCAAAGATCTGGCCGTTGATAGCGAGATCTGGCCACACCTAGATATCTTGGCCGTAGATCTGGCCGTTTCTGACCAAAAACATGTTGAATCTGGCCTGAAAAGGCCGGATCGGCATACTATCAGCCAGTCATGTGCCATTTTGATGACTTCTGGTCACCATCTGACGATGGTGGCCAGCTATCGACATTTAAAAGGTGGGTGGGGTGTTTTTGTTAATTTTAAAACTTTTATTATAGGGGGTGTTTAGCTAAATCAATAAATGTAGGGGATTGAAAAATAATCTAAATATTTACAGAATATATTTTCCAAAAATTTACCAAACATATTTTCAAATTTAAATCATATTCTTGTAATAACCCAATTCAACTTTTTCAAAAATACTATTCTAAACACTTTATCAAACACAGCCATGGCTTTTGTGATATGCTATCACATCCATTTTTAGATTTTGAAACATGAAATCCTATTTTTGTATTTATTTTTATATATATTAAATTGTAAAGAAATATTTGATGAAATTTTTTTAAATAGATCCTAGCGCACCAAAATTTCTTTAATCTCCATTTGGGCTATTGCACAAGGAAAGATAGAAGTGCCATCAACGAAGATATCTAATCTAATAAAAGAAATTATGAAGATTTGTTTTAATTAAAAAAATAATAATAATAAGATTTATGTTAAAGAATCATGGGTCAAAATCGTCATTTAATTTAATTGTTATTCATAAAATAAGTAGAGTTCTTGAAACTTTTAAGAAATAGCAATAATCTTTCTCTCCATAAAAAAATAATATAGTTTTTTATAGTTAATTAAAAGATAAAATTAAATAAAAAAATCCATCCCAAAAAAATGGTAATTCTAGATTTAATATTTCCTTGGTATCTATATATTTAATATTGTTAAAAATTATAATTTATTAAGTGTAATGATAACTCCTTTGATATTTAATCAATTTAATTAGCAAATATCCGGGATATTACGGTAAATTCACACCATATTTAAGCGGCCGATCGCTGCACAAAACGAGCAGTCGTTGAGAAATCGGCTATTTGCTCCCCGAGTTTATATACCACAAGTCAGCGACAAAAACGAGGCCGGCTGAGTCACCCTGCAAACTCACCGAGTCGACTCACTCTCAAAACCACACTCTATTCAATTGGTATGTTGTCGACTTGTCGTTTACTCATCTAACTCTGCATCAAATTATCAAAACCCTTCGTTCTCTCTCTTTTCTTCATCTCTCTCTTAGTTCTCTTCCTTTCCAGAAAAGGTTTAATATTTTCCCTCTCCACATAATTTTGCGTGAAAATTAGCTCGCGAGAATCGTAAATTTTCTCGGTATCCGAACACCGAATCACGTCTCACATAATGTTCCCTACCAGCGCCAAAACCTTCTCGTCGTTTACGCTGCCGAGTCTGCCGACTCCTCAGCTCAGTCCGAGTCAACCGGGGAGCCAGCCGACGTTCGTCAAGCTTCGGAGGAGGAATATAAACGTGACGTGTTCGGCGTCGGTTGTTGATGGGTGAGAGAGTTCTGTGGCTGGCTTGGAGCGGTGTTATACTGCGCCGAGTGCTTTGGCGTCAAGTTCGAATGTTGGATTAGGTCCGGTTATGAAGGGCGGACAGTACGGTGTGCGGTTACGTTAGAGAAAGGGAAGCTTGACTTGACGCAGAAACAATCGCGGTCTAGCCCAGAGGTTAGTTGTGAAATTGAAATTCAGTTTGGTTGATAACCAAACTTGGACCTCAGTAAATTTCTTATTTTTATGTGTTAAATTGTTTGTTTTAATAATTTATTGTTGATTGAAGTATGTTGATTTCATAGGAAGTGTTGCGTTAGGGTAATTTGATTATGGAATTGGGATAATTTCATTGACAATGAAGAGGTTTCTATTGGTTTACTTTTTTATGTCTAAAGTCTCCCTTGAGGAAGTTTACTTCAGATATTTCAGTGGTTTTCCTTCTATGTTAGAGAGAAATTTCAAGGGAGGTTAATGAAGTTAAACTTATAGATTCTAGATTTTAAATCTAGAGATATGTTTCTTGTGAGGATTTGTTAAAATTGAAGATATTTGGTGAGGATGGTTTTAATATAATTTTAGGGAAAGTGCTCTCTAACAACATCGACGCAAGTAATTACTAATTAAGATTCTATGAATATTGTGGATTGGGTTTGCCTTCTGTTGTGAGTAGTAATAACTTCAAAGAAAATGTAACTTTAAAGCTTTACTTGGAGGTTTACATGGTGGATGCCCACACGGAAGTTTATATTGAAGCCATGATTTAAATGTAAAAGCCACTTTAGGAATTTATAGACCTCCACATTGCCTTAAAATTATCTCATTTATAATGACCTAGAACTAATATATATCACAATTCTTTGTTAGAATTCTGTTTGAAACTTTAACTTCTTTTTTTTTTTTTTTGGGTAAAAGTTCACGGTTGTTATGTTGTCTTCATGATGTGTATATTCTCATATTTGTTTGAAAGTTTGTGTAGCTATCTTTTATTTGCCGCTTCAGGCAACTCATTCTAAAGAGTACTGATGTCATAATTGTTAGGAAAACCCCCTGCCAGTAGAGGAATCGTTTTAAGTGAATTGATTAAAAGCGTGTGATTATGGTAAATATGTATACTGAATGGATTATAGACAAGTAATAAAGTGTAATAGATGGGATTTAAGTGATGCCTAAAAGTACTATTCCTGGGGCTGTTGTTGGCTATGTGAGGTTCTAAGAACAATGACAGTGTTGTGTAAGGAATATAGGTCATTTGGGTCAATTAGAAATGGGGGTTAAGGCTAGATTTTCAATTATGGATTTGAGTTTTTGACGGGAATCAATGAATTGAGGTATTTTAGGGTATGGTTTTTTCCTCTGATAAGAATTTAGTTTACGTTTGTTTTTTTTTTTTTTTTTTTTTTCCCTTTTCCTTTGATAAGAATATAACATAACGACCATTGTTAAAATGTAAACTAAATTAAAGAACTATATAACTGAAATAGAGAAGAGATGAATATAACCATCTATTTGAGGCCTTAGTCAAAACAATAAATCTCAAAGATTAGCAATGCCTTTCATTTCAAAAAACTAAGAACATTTTTAAGTATTGGATCCCTTAAAACAATTAGTACAATAGAAATTAGTAAGCGATGAAGATTTGAAGCTTACATATTACACATCCATGATAATTTTTGGATTTTATTGATGAGAAAGAAAGTTGATATTATGGCTAACATCTTAATATAAAGTGGTTGTGAACATTTAAGTTATGCAGTTTCTTTTAAAAAAATCACATCCATTAACCTCTGCTTGCGTGTAATGACAATTTTACAATTTTACAAATAAAATCTTCTTCTCAATCTCCTGCTTTTACATGAGCATCATCATAAAGATCATGGATAACGCATCTATCAATCTCTGCTTACTTGTAATGACATCGTACTTGAATAAATTCTTCAAAGTCATCAGCCTTCTTTAAATTCTTTAAAACAAATTTCCGCTTTCCCTTCTTTTCTTCGTAGCGTTTCGGCCACCGTTGTTTGGCCTTTTTATCTAAAACCAGATCTCCAATAAAATGAGGTTCATGTTTCTTGTCATCGTCTCTTCTCTTTTCCTCATGAACCGTTAATTTCTTTCAAAAACCGAACCTTTTTTCTCAAAGTCTCTCTCTTTTTCTCTTCCACTCTTTTCTCTCACCAAACGTTGCTGTTGCATTTTCCTCATGCTGCCATTAAATCCTCCTAACGCGAACATTGAATCTTGTTCACGCCACCATTACATCCTATTAACGCCGCCGTTAAATCCTCTTAATGTAATCGTTGAATCCTCCTCACATTGCTGTTAAATCCTTCTCAAGCCGCCATGTCTAGCAAGCAGAAGTCCACGCCCTTGGCTGTCTCCACGTTGACAAAGAAGTTGAAGTGGTTGGCGTAGGAGCCAAAGTTGGAACACGAAACTCGCATTGACAATAGAGATGTCGACGTGAGTTCGAAAAGTTTAGATTCGGTTATCGAGGTGAAGAAAAACCGGGCAAGTTAAAAAAAAGCCAGCACCTAGAATAAAACAATTATGGAAAACATATAAAAGGCTTTGTTATTTCGAAAAGCAGTAGCAGTATGGTTTAACTTAACACAATAATGATAAAATGAATTAACCGTTACCCAAAGCGGATGAGGATATATAATGAATTAACCATTACCTAAAACGTTGGCAACTAGCTGCAGAACCTGACGTGGTGACCACTAGCTTTTGACATCAGATGGTAAGAGAAAAATGTCTCAAACCTCATTACCTTTAAACACGTAAACCCAAGGCCCCATCCAAGCTCCACAAACACAAACGGTAATGCCAATATTAGGTGGAACTTGTTCAAGGATGAGAAGGATGTGCCATTTTTTTAAGGATGTATGTGTATTTATTTATTTATTTATTTTTAATTCTTAACAAGGGAAGGAGTTTTTGGAGCCGTCGAAGCGCAACTACAACAGGTAGTCACTAGCCTACTTTGAATGTGGTTCGCTAGAGTATGTAGAATGATGAATACAATTTTTGTCTTTGTTATTGGATTTCGACAGAGATAAAATAGAATTCAATGCAACAGTTATTTAGGATTGACTTTGGAAAAACAAAGGGAAAGGAATGATGAGTATGAGAAACTGAAAAGATACTTAAAAGACTTGAGAAAGATTTTAGATTTGGAAGTATCATTTTGTGCAGTGAGATCACCTCATTACCCTTTGGATGTGATTGTTTGTTGAACTCACCTAGTTTTTCTTCACCTCAATAACCGAACCCAAACTTTTCAAACTCACATCAACATCTTCGTCGTCAATGTGAGTTTTGTGCTCCAACTTTGGCTCTTGCATCGACTGCTTCAGCTTCTTCACAGGTGTGGCGGCATTGGAGAGCATGGACTTTCGCTTGCTAGGCATGGCAACTTGAGGAGGATTCAATGGCAGCGTGAGGAGGATTCAACAACTGCATTAGGAGGATTTAACAGCGACATTAAGAGGATGCAATAGTGACATGAGCAAGATTCAATAGTCGCATCAGAAGGATTCAATGGCTGCGTTATGAGGATGCAACAATGGCCTTTGGTGAGAGAAAAGAGAGGAAGAGTTTGAGAAAAAGCGATCGGCTCTAGAAAGAAATTGGCAGTTCGTGAGGAAAAGAGAAGTGACGATGACGAGGAGCTTGAACCTCGTTTTATTGGAGATCTGATTCCGGATAAGGAGGCCAAACAACGGTGGATGAAGCGCTATGAAGAAAAGAAGGGAAAGCGGAAATTTGTTTCAAAGAAATCAAAGGAGGACGATCATTCTGAAGAATTGGTTCAAGCACGATGTCATTACACGTAAGTAAAGGTTGATGGATGCGTTGTCTATAATTTTTATGATGATGCTCATGTAAAAGCAGGAGATGAGGAATAAGATTTTATCTGTAAAATTGTAAAATTGTCATTACGTGCAAGTAGAGGTTGATGGATGTGATTTTTTTAACTGAAACTTCATAACGTAAATATTCATAATTACTTTGTCTTAAGGAATAAAGATAGACTAACAAACGTATCTCACAAACTTTCTGTTACAAACCCGGCGTGGTAGCTGAGTTGATAGCTGATAGCTTCCACCAAATGCAAAATGATTTGGACTAGACCCAAAAAATAGTCGTTTATAAAAGGAACGATAACGACCGTTCCTTCCCTTATGGAACGGGTGTGAAGGTATAAAGGAATGGTTGTTCGTAGGGATGAACGATCATTTCTTTGGTCATTCTTTATAAAGGAACGACTATTCTTAGGGATGAATGTGAAGGAACGATCGTTCCCATAAGGAATGGTTGTTCTATAAGATGGAACAACCATTCCTTCTTATGAAATGGTTGTTCCATAAGAAGGAAAGACTATTCCATAAGGAATGGTTGTTCCATTCACAAGGAGCAACCATTCCTATGGGAATGATCGTTCTTTATGAATGGAACAGTCGCTCATTATGAATGAATGATCTTTCCTCTCTAAGACATAGCCGTTCATGTTTAGTCAAAGTCATCAGTTGACGTGGTAATGCTAACTCGGTGTCACGTTGGGTTTGTCAGATTTATTTGTCAGTGTAGTATTACCCTATGTTAAGTTGTTATCCATAATATCAAGTTTCTTTAAATAGATGGTTATATTCATTTCTTCTCTATTTCAGTTATATAATTTTGCTTTAATTTAGTTTGCATTTTAACAATGATAGTTATATTATATTCTATCATGTCCATTAACTCCTTTTAATATTTTTTATTTTTTTTTTATTTTTTGTAAAACATATATAATGAATAATGAGTTTCCTTTTTTTTTTTTTTTTTCCCTAACTATGCAATAAAATTCGCAAATAAGGGCACTAGCTTTTGGCGAAAATTAATAAATTTTTTTTGAACATGGAATTTATTGTTACGTATATGACTTAACCTAAATAAATATCATGATTGATTATTGATAGGAACCTACTCTTAAATTGATAGAATTTGGGCTGGATAGTGGGCCTTTGATAAGAATTTGGTTAGACAGTGGTCTTTTGTGGGCTTGGATAAAACTCTCCTTAGTAAATCGACTTGCCAAGTTTAACCAATCCAACATCGAAAGCGTATTGGGGAGGTCCTGAGCTTATAAATAGGGAGAGTTCCTCCACTTGATAGGTTAGTCTTTTGGGTGTAAAACTCCCAGCCCGTGACAAGTGGTATTAGAGCAAACTTGATTCGTCTTTCGATGTGCGGCCAAGCACCAACACAGGGGCATCCACGTGTGATTGTGGGTGCACACAAGATCAAGATGATGAATCGGCAATAGCTCCAAGAGTGAAGGTGAGGGCAGCCATCCATTTGGATAAATCATCTACCTAGAATAACCAAAAGATGCACTTGATTCTCCGTTCATTCACTTTGAAAATTTTGCAGCCAATAACTAAAAGCTTAGTTTCAGAAAACATATTCGATCTCACAATGCAAGAAAGGAAACCCTATAATTTAAGTGTCATGGGAGAGCATTCATCAGGATTCTTCTTCTTTAAACTCATCAATATGGACTAAAGCATATTCATTACCCTCTTAATTACGAAAAGCACATTCTATGCCTGGTTTTGGCAATCATAAAAAGAGGAAAGCGTAAATTTAAAAAACACAAAAAAACAAAAATTTTCTTCTCCTATAATTCATATTAGAATTTTTAAACATATAGCAATAATAGTTAGCAACATGCATAATTGAACTCATTGAATGTTGAAATAAGATCAGTGAATAAAATATTAATCGTATCTCTACGAAATACATAGTACAATGTGACAAGGGAACCAAACTATAAAGAAAGACATGATAAGTACAAATGCCATATTTGCCTGCCTGCTTTCTGACTTCAACTAAATCCATAATCATTTAAAAGATGGAATAATTCAAGTTCCTTCCAATAGATATATGCAATAGTGATGCAAGCCAAGGAAATTAAATGAGGAAATCAACTTAGTTTAGAGATGGGGTTGGCGGTCCTTGCATTACCCTCTTCAAAAATTCATGTTTTTTTATCTTTTTCCCCAAAAACACTATGCATACTACTGGTTTTTACTAACCAGTCTATAACATGACTTGGCATCTGACGTGGAGATGCCAATTCATCTGCCACGTCAGATAATTAAAAAAAGAAGTTTGTGAAAAAATTTTGTGCAGTTGGGTTTATAGAACAAATTTTTGCCTCCAAAAACTTTGCCTCCCTAATCTTTCCCTCCGTAATCTCATTCTTAATAACTGAAAATCTTCTCTCCCAAATCCCAATCTTAATAACCTAAATCTTCTCCCAAACTAAATCATACTCAAAACCCAAATTACCCATCCCGAATTTGAGCATTTGAACTGCCAGCTGCAACATCCATTGTCGCTGTTGCATTTGTCTCTGTCGTTGACCAGTGAGAGTTCCTTTTGAGTGGTAAGAGCTTACTCACTCAATGGTCTCTCTTACTTACTTGCTACTGTCGGGAGAAGTGGAGCACAACACTTGCTTGGTGCTTTTGAGTTGAGAACCATGTATAAGTTTGTATAAATTTTATGATAAACAATATTTTAGTAAAAAGGAGCTTTGTAAATCCAATAAATTGAGGAAATTTTGTGCAAATGTAAAACAGTGAAAGGAACTACACAATTTGGGAAAGAAAAGGTGAAAAAAAGAAGGTTTGAGATGTTTTATATAAGGTGTCGTGGAGCTTGCAAAGCTTAATATTCATAATTTATTCTTGTTTCTGCTGCTGCAAATGGCTGCTCATCAAAATGTCACATAATTCGTGGATCTTCAAAATTTGAACAATGCATTGTTGAAATCTTTTTTCCTTCTCATAATAGTTGTGGCCATTTCAAGTGCTGTGTTAGATGGGTATAAGAATGAAGTAAGAAATGAGTAGATACTTGTTCCTAAATCTTCAAAGTAGCTAATCGAATATACACCTTGAATTGAAAGACTTAGAGCTGCATATGGGTTTTACTTTGGTATTCCATAAGGAAAGGACCAAGGTAAATATACATATGTTGACTTCAGTCAATTTACAACTTAATTATGTGAACAGTTTATTTTAACAAAATTCTGCATTTAGTTTACATAGTATCAGAGCTCATTTGACCGACTTCAATGGCTGATTTCAGGTGCTTTTTGCTGTTGAAGTGCATGATCTCGATTGTAATGGAAGTGTGTATAAATGGGACTTTAATTCTTGTTATTTATGTCCCCTTTGCTTATCTTTTTGTTATATGTTCGGAAGCATGTATATCTGAATCATTTTCTAGTTAGGTACGTATATGAAGTTCTTGAATTCAGAAATATGATCAGTTGTTATAACCATTTTTTGTTTCAGGGTTCTGGTTGGAAAAAGGTTGGCAATTTTTAAGGACTTTTCCAAACAGATTTAAGTAGCGCCCTTCGGACAGACATTTCGAGATCAATAATGTAAAGGCACTTGTCTTTTTGCCCCTTATTTCATAAGGGATGTTCCTTCTTGTTTTCATAAATGTAATAGATTATCTTCTTGATTTAATTGTAATTATTAATTGTTTTTTCTTAATTATTAATACACAAGTTTAGTTTAGTTCATTGCATTCAAAATGCATTTAAGTTGTTACGGGTTTTGCAGAGGAGCAGAAACAAAGGCTGATAACATGTAGGAGCAGACAATGGAGGAAATAAATGAACAGTTAAAGGCTTCGGTTTCTAAGATTGAAAGGGTAAGTATTGTAATGAAACGAAGTTATTATTATGTATCAATGAGTACCCATGCTTGTATGATAAAGATAAATTTTTGTATACGCACAAGTTAATGTAGTTTAAACAAAAATTTGGATGGTTTTGTTTCTATCATGTTTATTATCTTGCAATATTCTAATTCTAGGTATTATAATATAAATGAATCAGGATAATCAATTTGAAGAAGTTAAAGATAGAGGAAGTGCAGAGGAGGAATGGGAGTTGAAGCCCGGGATGGTCTTTGATTCACTTGATAATCTTCTCCAATACTACAGAAGTTATGGGAATAGAATGGGGTTTGAAGTTATTATAAGATCCTCAAGGAAAGTAGATGATGGAGAGGTGACAAATGTAACACTAGCTTGTTCTTGTACTGGGAAGTCGAGTAGTAACACCCGAAACGCTTTTAAATTATACCCAGTGACAGACAGATTGTAAGGCTCGGGTTGGTGCAGCCGTACGTGGTAACGGAAAATGGCAAATATGTTCAGTGGGGTTGAATCATAACCATGAGCTCAGTAGTCCAATGAAAACTAGATATTTTAGGAGCAATCATGGTATACAACCATACGTGAAAAAGAGACTTGAAGTAAATGATAGGGTCGCGATTAGGCCGAATAAAAATTTCAATTCCATGTTAGTTGAAGTAGGCGGTCCTGAGAATTTGCCTTTCTTGCAAAAAGATTGTAGAAACTATATTGAAAAAGTTAGGAGGATGCGACTTGGTGTCGGGGATGCTTATGCAATCCAAAAATATTTTTTGAAGATGCAAAAAGAAAATGTAAATTTCTTTTACATGATGGATTTAGATGAGGAATGTCGATTACAGAATGTTATATAGGTGGATGTAAGAAGTAGGGTTGCATTTAAGGAATTTGGCGGCGTTGTCACATTTGACACTACATACTTGACCAACAAGTATGATATGCCATTTGCGGCGTTTGTTGGTGTTGACCATCATGGACATTCAACACTCTTAGGTTGTGGGTTAATCTCCTATGAGGACACTGAGACTTTTGTTTGGCTTTTTGAATCTTGGCTTGCATGTATGTGGAATTGTGCTCCAAATGCAATAATCATTGATCAAGACAAGGCGATGCAAAATGCAATCGAGATTGTGTTTCCCGGTACACGGCATAGATGGTGTTTGTGGCATATAATGAAGAAATTGCCAGAAAAGTTAAGGGGTTACAGCGAATATGAATGTATTGAGTTTGCTTTGCAAAATGCTGTGTATGATTCATTGAAATTGAGAAGTTCGAACAACGTTGGACTGGATTCATTGATAAATACAACCTTCACAACCATGAGTGGTTACTTGGACTGTATAATGAAAGACAACGTTGGGTGCCATCGTTTGTAAAAGACACCTTTTGGGCGGGTATGTCCACCACTCAACGGAGTGAAAGTATGCATGCATTCTTTGATAGGTACGTAAATTCTAAAACCACTTTGAAACAGTTTGTAGAACAGTATGAGAATGCACTGTGTGATAAAGTAGAAAAAAAAAAAGGAGGCTGATTTTAGATCATGGAAATCATGGATTCCTTGCATAACCGGTTATCCAATGGAGAAACAATTTCAGGAGGCATACACGACTGCAAAATTCAAAGAGTTTCAGCAAGAGCTTACTGCTAAGTTGCATTGTGAGATATCTTCTTTCCGGACCACTAAATCTAAAATAGAATATATTGTAAAGGAAGTTGTCGTGGTTGGGGAGGCATGTCGTAGTGTGCCTTTTGTGGTTTGCTATGATGACCGTGGTTGTGATATTCGTTGCAACTGTCGATTGTTTGAGTTTAGAGGGATTATTTGTCGACATGCAATGACGGTATTGCTTCATAAAGAGATTTATCATATACCTGAAAAGTTCATTTTAAGAAGGTGGAGGAAAAATGTATATAGATGCCACACGAAGATTAGAGTTGGTTATAATAGCTGGAGCACGACTGCTGAAGGAGAACGGTTTGATCAATTGTCTAATTCATTCTCTGAGGTGGCTGATTTAGCCTCAACCAATATTGNTATAACCTTTGTATGATTTCTTTAAGTTATTAATTCTTTATTGGGTTTGGGCTTAGGAATAACAATCCTTGTAAAACTAGGTTTTGTCACTTTAAACCTAGTATATAAACATATTTTTCTCTTATTATGAGAGTGATAGCAATCATAGGACAATTCATTCATTGTAAACGAGAGAGGTGAGGAAGTATTGCAATAATATTAACTCAACTGGACTTAGCCCATATTGGGTGAACTAGGGTAAATCATGCGTCTTATTTTCTCTTTGTTTATTGTCTGTGATTTGTTTTACTATTATTTTGTTCCCATTGTTGTCTCTATTTCGTTCATTTAGCACTTCAGAATTTCAGCTATGCTTGGTAAATTGACCTAGATTGGTAGTTAATGAGTCTGCACGAAAGAGCATATTTGCCCAACACTATACACTCAAATAAGGATCATATTACTAATGTAACAAAATTAGAAACTTAAAGGTAGTAATTGATCGTTTAGTAAAATTGAGGTACTTTAAGGGTTATTTTGCTGCCTATGAAAAGTATCAATTAGAGAGAATGTTTAATCAAATCATTGGCTTCATTTGCCCAATCAAACTATAATTTGGTACAAGTGAAATATAAGTTTAATTTTTTTTCTTTTGATCTCCATTTACTTGCTTTCCACTCTTGCATTAGATTCTTAATTTGCGAAATGGGACTAAAACAAAGAAATGAAATTGAAGTAAAGCTATATTCCATGCCTTAACCACTTTTAAAGCATCCTAATTATTTCTAATACATCATATTGTGATTGTTTAGTGACTGAGAAATCCAAGTGTTGGGCCAAGCATCATCTTTTATGTTCCTTCTTTGAATTACAACTTTTTATAAAGAATTGAAAGCATACCAGCATTTTCAAACTTACAAGCAAATCTCATATCTCATAATTCTCTTCGGCTCTTTTATCATTCAAACACTTACCATCTCTGATATCATGGTTGAAGTAATTGTTTCTAGTGTCTTGGGGCAGCTTGTTAGTAAACGGTCCCATATACGCAGCGGAAACAAAACAAATATAATAAAGAGATCGTTTACATGAGCCAAGATCAAAGGTATAATTTTACAATTCATATTAAAATAAAATCTGCAGAAAAATAAATCTGAGTTTAAAGAAAACAAACACATGTTGGAGGCTCCTCCAAATTTGTCAACGAATGTTTTGCTACCGATCCAAGTGTAGGATCGAACCCACATAGTCCACATGAAGACAATCTCAAAAGAACCAAAAAGGGATTTGCTAGATCCTCTTTGGCTTCAAATTTAGAAGAAAGCAAATCAATTGAATTGATTTTTGAGCCTATAGTGTTTCTGCCGTGGGAGTGTATTGAGAAGGGCTGTGTGTGTTTTTAATTTCAAAAGAAATCCATTCCTGCATAAACAATTAACACACTTTTCCTTTTATAGTTAATCAATTTGCCCTAATCCCATAGTTTTAGTGTCATTACCATATACTAAATTGCGCCGTGAGATAACTTTCTCCCGTACCTGGGAGTGATGAATCCTCTGTCAATCCACCATAGTCTTGATACACTTCTTGATGCAGCCAATCACCACCGTATTGACAGCTCTAAAAAGAACTGAGTTAGGTTAGTGTCAAACTACACCAATCGATGCACAAGGCACTCCGGTGATCTCAAGTCTAAGGATCACATGCACCACCATTCGTTAGAGGATTTGTTCCATAGACACTGGGGTTACCATCCATATGGAATCCTCTGGTGGGACAGTCCAGTGAACTTGCTACGGTGTCATCACGTATAGCAAGCACCCATGTGTTGCACCAGGTTGTCACCAAACAACCTTGAATAAGGAGATCAATCACTGCCTTTCAACAGGGCAGTTCAACACTATGATAACCTTACCGTATTATCTGTGCCCTTACTTCAGAATAAACTGGGGGCTACGGAGGTTTCTAAAATGGCCACATATGTGCTCATAGGGTTCTCACTATCAAGATTTGAAACACTTGATACCCCGTCACGATTCTACCATTTTAAGGACATATATCAATACATATTGCAATAATAATGATTTACGCGATATAGAATAAAATGCCTTTTATTAATTAATGAACATTATTACAAAGAGTCAATTCTACAATAATTGATTGGCTCTAGGGCACTTACTCCAACAATCTCCACTTGCACTATAGCCAATCATTCATGCACTCAACACTGAATGACCCAAGTGCTGCACTATAGCCAGTCATTCATGCACTAACATTGAATGACCCAAGTGCCCATCATGCTTTGCTATAACAGAAACATAATAGTGGGTTAGTAGGTGTTCTGCAAATCTGCACATTCCCTTCTTATCGATCCTTCAGATCAGATTGAATCAACTAAGTAAGTGTTTGGATTACTGGTGAAACTGTGATTCTCAGCCACAACAATGGCTCCATTGTTATCACAGTACAACTATACTGGATTAGCAATGCTTGGAATCACGTCAAGTTCAGTAATGAACTTCTTGATCCAAATTGCCTACATGGCAGCATTAAAAATGCGATACACTTAACACAATTGTAGAATTCGCTATAGTACACTAATTCGAGCTCTTCTAGCTCACTGCAGTTACATTGAGACAAATTGTGTAATCCCAAATGCGAACTTAATCATCCTTTTCCGTTTGGAAATAGCGTCATTGTATTCTCTTACAGTGAGCTCATCTTTCTCCATAATCCAAGAATATATTCTTAAGCCCTTTTCAAGTACTTAAGAATGTCCATTGACACTCACCCAATGTCATTCACTTGGATTAGTTGATATCTTTACTAGTGTTGAATGCACATAAGACATCAACCTAAGTACATAACATATTGCTCACTTGAGCTGGATGATATCCACTACAAGTGCTGAATGCACATTAGATATCAATCTTAGCATACAAGATGGATCCACTGCTCAAGCATGTGGGATTCTTTCATTCTGTCTTCTCATTGTGTGGCTAAAGACACATATCCTTACAGAGATAGACAACATATGCCATCAGAAGAAATCACTTCTTGGATTTTTTTCTATATGAATGGTTCAGTATCTTCTATGTACTTTGACTTAGTTTGAGCAACCTACATGATCTATCACAATAGATCTTTATTCCTAGGATGTAGGCTGCTTCCCCTAAGTCCTTCGTGGAGAAGCACTTGGATAACCAAGTCTTTAGACTACAAGTTCGGTATATCATATCCCGATTAGAAGTATGTCATCGACATACAACACTAGGAATGCTACTTTGCTCCCACTCACTTTCTTGTAAACACAGGGCTCATCTTCGTTTGATAAAACCGAATTCTTTTACGGGCTCATCAAAACGAATGTTCCAGCTCCTTGAAGCTTGCTTGAGTCCATAAATGGATCTCTGCAACTTGTATACCTTATTAGCTTGACTATCAAGAACAAAACCATCAGGTGTGTTATACACATCTCCTCAAGGTTTCCATTCAGGAAAGCAGTTTTGACATCCATTGCCAAATCTTATAGTCAAGATATGCAACAATTGCAAGCATAATCCAGAGGATTTAATCATGGCAACCGGCGAAAAAGTTTCTTCATAGTCAATGCCATGAATTGTTGTTGAAACATTTGGCAACCAGCCATGCTAAGTATGCACGTTGCCATCCATGCCAGTCTTCTTCTTGAAGATCCGTTTACACCCTATGGGGTTTACCCTTTTAGGTGGTCCACCAGAGACCACACTTGGTTCTAGTAAATGGAGTCCATCTTAGATTTCATGGCTTTAAGCCATTTAACGGAATCTGGATCGATATAGTGTCTTCATAGGTTTTGGGTTCATAGTCTTGGTAGACTAGTACGTCACCATGTTGAGTCACGAGATAACCTTATCTCTCAGGTCATGGCTACTCTCCCAGATCTATATAGCTCCTGTACTACCTGAGGTGGTTCACTTTGATCCATAAGTTGTGGAGTAACTCCTATGATGCTCAACCTTCCTGTGGTACATCATCCGTCGTTCGTCTGTACATCTTGTGGTTCTAGAACTTCATCAAGTTCTTCTTTTCTCACTAGTACTTCTTAGAAAATATTCCTTTTCTAGGAAGCCACTAGATCGAGCAACAAAAATTCTGCACTCTTCTGGGTGGTAGAAATAGTATCCTTTGGTCTCCTTTGGATACTCCACAAAAATACATTTACAGGATTTTGGCCCAGCTTGTTCGAAGTCAATTTCTTAACATAAGCTTCACAATCCCAAATCCTTAGATAAGACAAGTTGGGCTTTCGCCACTCCATAGCTCATATGGAGTCTTATCTACAGACTTTGACGGCACACGGTTCAAAACGTAAGTCGCAGTCTCTAGGGCATAACCTAGAACGATGCAGGTAAATCACTAAAACTCATCATGGACCTAACCATATCAAGTAAGGTCCTGTTCCTCCTCTCCGCACTCGTTGTGTTGGGGTGTATAAGGAGGGGGGAGTTGTAATACTATCCCACATTCCTTCAGGTATGTTTAGCTCAACTTGCCAAAGTTGGCATAGTTGTCATTTTGAGATTATCCTGTTGTCTTCTTAAGAACATATTTATGAAACATTTCCATAAAGAATATATTTATACTCAAGGACAATAATCCTAGTAAACTAATATTCTCATTTGTCCTATGTGGACACAGAAATATAATTTCTAGAAACTGAAGAAAAACCATAATAATCATAAGTTCCAAGAAATAAGTCCATCGGCTAAATTAGACATAAGATCCTACAGCAAATGTAGTAGCAGTGCTTCATTTCCAACTGGTAGGTCACCTTTCCCTCGGCAAGCAATCTACTCTACCGTAGTTCCTACACATCAGTCAAATGTGAGTACCACATCTTGTGTCAACTAGATGTTTATGGGAGAAGTTAATCTTAATAACTTACCTAACGAAGAAGTAACATCTTCTCCCTTTTGCTAGGAAGGCCTTGCAATGTTTCTACAGTGGCTGGGATTCCCACA